TTATTTTATATTTTTAACATAATTTTAATTAAGTTTTTGTTAATTGCTGATACTTTTTTAATGGCCGTAATATCATCACAAATGTTTAGCTTCTTAAATTTAACCTCTTCAGTAAAAGAATTAATGTGACGAACTTGACCTTAATATTTAAAATTATAAAATGCTCTATTTGTTGTGCAGTACATTAGCCTTTAATGTTGCAAAACCAAATAAATTATTGTGGATCACAACCATGTGTCAAAAATTTTATCATAAAATGATAGCAGCTCAATGCTTTAATTATGTTGACGTAAGGTGGTTGTAATTCACAGGAAAGGGAAGACGAAAAAAAGGAACAGAATATGCACATGAACAAATGGTTTCATATTTACTGGTTGAAATCATTACCCATCTACGGCAGTATACGCACCTCTCTCAACCACGTCCAAAGAAGCTCTGATCTCGCTCACCAGTTACACTCACTACGACCCCTCCACATACCTCTATCTCTCCGCTCTATCCCCTCCCGTTCCCTTCCATTCGTGCGGCGTCTCAATAGCTTTCGCGCTCCTATACCATCGTCATTGGCCTTTTCCACTGGCGTAGCGGTTACAGTATGGGCTCGCAGAATATAATAATCGCATCATAATATTAACTTCTTATAACGGATAAAACGCTACTCATAAATAGTAAATATATTATTTAGTTATAATTATAAGTGGCACTATGCCTAATAGTACTCATTCATACCTTATCTGCGTAAATCACACAGGTAGAGCGACTTTTCTGTAGTGCCGTCTTGGGCGTACGATTTGAGTTGTATCTCGGTGACGCGGAACGCTCTCAGAGTCTGACGGTCCCAGACCTACCCCACTGCGCGTAAGCCTGTGCATGCTAGTGACCTTTAGTTCGGGAGCGAACTCCAGTAGGTTCATGAAACTTAAAGTGGCTTGACGGCCACAGGACTTTGTCCCTGTGCCAGATTGAGACCCGCTCCGTGGCGTCCTTTGCACTTTCTGTTACTATTTTCAGATTTAATTAATCGCGTGTCTGGCTCTACCTGTGTGACCTTTACAATTAGCAAGTTCCTTAACAATATTCTAGTCATTTGGGCATATTGAAACACGCGCTTGCGCCCTTTCGCTCGGTTACCGTTTCCCCTTTCAATCTCGCTACGCCGCTCTTTGGTACGAGTGGATCCGTCGTCTACAGTGGCAATATTATTTCACCAACTGCTGAATAATAAGATTATTTATACGCGGTGAAATAAAAAAAGGGTTTGTCATTTATATCAATAAAATAATTTAATAAGTCTTGATTTAAAAGATTCGTAGTATTGTTATGTATACACATACTAGTGGGACTTCGCTCCCTGGGTGCTCCGCCCTCCAACCCCTCAATTTTTAAATATCAGTTAAATACTTAATTCGTTCAGTTTGCTTTTTAAAGTTGAAGAGTCAAAACTGAGGTAGTGTAAATTTAATAAATACTTTTTTATAAATTTATTATTCAAAGTTTCTTGAATTTCTCATTTTTTGTCTTGTATAACTTTAAAAAAATACTATCTATCTCGATATTTGATGAAAACATTACCATTGTTTAATGTATTTCAGGATTGTAATGCTGAAGTAGTGGCAGATTTTGCAGCTAGAGTTGCTAAATTAGCATCAGAATCTCCAAAAACATCACCAGTTATGGATATACAGGATTCAACCGTTTCTACGATTACGGTTCCAAATACATTCGATTTTCCAACCTCAAAAACTGATTTCAAAATGCACAAAACTACAGAAAACAATAACTCTGTACCTAAGAAGAACGAAAACGATTCTCTCAAGTTGTACGAAGGTAATTTTTTAATTGATTTTAACGTTGTATGTTAACGTGCTTTAATAAGTTAATAAATAATTTGATACAATGAGGAAAAATTAAAATAAGCTAAGATTCTACTTTTAATCAGAAATATGAAAATCAAACTCGACAAACATTCTGTCGTCAAAAAAAATGCGAAAAATCAAAAAGGGCACATCGTTACGTCCAATGAGTTACTGTTTGTTTCGTTTGTGTAATAAATAAGTTTTTTATCACCATATTGATTAATTTTCTCTTTATAAAAAATTGCAATGTTTAGTATCATTAATATAAATGCACACGTATTTGTCCAAACAAAAACTTAGTTGCAAAAGCTTTAGTACATTAAGCAAATTTGCTGGAAGAGTAAAGATAGTTATCGCTTGAGTCAGTGATTTTTTGCATCGCTGGATTAATGGTAAACTATTTCCACGATGCCTCATCTAGAAAAATTTATTACAAAATGTAAGACTAATGTTTGGTTGTACAAGTGTTTACAATATTATTAAATAATGTACGAACAATATATTTCGTTAATATATGACATAATTTTAGTGCACGTATAACCTGACGCCCACGGCAAAGTTTAGCAAGATAACCTTGATACTGCAGAACAAGCAAACGTGAAATCAAATTTTATGTATTTCACCGTCAAAACATCGCTCAGAAAATATCTTGCTTGACTTCGTTTTCAGTAAGGAAGCCACGTCAGCACACTGATTTTGGCTTCAGTTCTTTTAGCTCGGGGGCTTAGTAAAAAGTGCTGACGAGTACGTAACCTGTCCTTTACTCACTAAGCTTGCACCTCTGAGAGTTTAAGATCTTATGTTCGTACTTCTAACTGTGATTTGATGGTTCAGCAGTCATGTATAATAAGATGTCCTCATTTTTGTGTAAGTAACTAATTAACAGTAAATCTAAGGCAGTATTTCAATAGACGAATGATCAGAATGACTGAATATATGGCTGTATATATCGCGCGCTGACCCTCCATCACTACTCTTTATTAAAATAGAATTCTTGTAATTTAATATACAAATCAGTAACGTGCGTAACATTAAAACTTTTTGTTTCGATGCATGCTTTATAAATGCATATAAATAAAAATTTATATTAATACATCAAATTTTGTTTCGTTCTTAACAGTTAGCTCAATGCTTACAATAAGCTCAAATAAAAGTATGTTTATCACTTTCATTATTTTTTTCAGTCCTTGAGTTTCATCCCAAACATTTTAATGGAACAACGAAAAATGTCAAAATTTTTTACTGTTTCAGATTTTGATACTATTATTGACCTGCATTAGGCTACCATTAGTTTATTTTCTATATCATTTTTTAATTTTTTTTTTCAGAGAAAATACATGTTTTAGTTTCGTAGTGATTAATACATTTTTAGAATTAATCATAAATATTTATAGTTTTTTGTTATCAGATTTTCCTTCTCATGTTATTTTATATTTTTAACATAATTTTAATTAAGTTTTTGTTAATTGCTGATACTTTTTTAATGGCCGTAATATCATCACAAATGTTTAGCTTCTTAAATTTAACCTCTTCAGTAAAAGAATTAATGTGACGAACTTGACCTTAATATTTAAAATTATAAAATGCTCTATTTGTTGTGCAGTACATTAGCCTTTAATGTTGCAAAACCAAATAAATTATTGTGGATCACAACCATGTGTCAAAAATTTTATCATAAAATGATAGCAGCTCAATGCTTTAATTATGTTGACGTAAGGTGGTTGTAATTCACAGGAAAGGGAAGACGAAAAAAAGGAACAGAATATGCACATGAACAAATGGTTTCATATTTACTGGTTGAAATCATTACCCATCTACGGCAGTATACGCACCTCTCTCAACCACGTCCAAAGAAGCTCTGATCTCGCTCACCAGTTACACTCACTACGACCCCTCCACATACCTCTATCTCTCCGCTCTATCCCCTCCCGTTCCCTTCCATTCGTGCGGCGTCTCAATAGCTTTCGCGCTCCTATACCATCGTCATTGGCCTTTTCCACTGGCGTAGCGGTTACAGTATGGGCTCGCAGAATATAATAATCGCATCATAATATTAACTTCTTATAACGGATAAAACGCTACTCATAAATAGTAAATATATTATTTAGTTATAATTATAAGTGGCACTATGCCTAATAGTACTCATTCATACCTTATCTGCGTAAATCACACAGGTAGAGCGACTTTTCTGTAGTGCCGTCTTGGGCGTACGATTTGAGTTGTATCTCGGTGACGCGGAACGCTCTCAGAGTCTGACGGTCCCAGACCTACCCCACTGCGCGTAAGCCTGTGCATGCTAGTGACCTTTAGTTCGGGAGCGAACTCCAGTAGGTTCATGAAACTTAAAGTGGCTTGACGGCCACAGGACTTTGTCCCTGTGCCAGATTGAGACCCGCTCCGTGGCGTCCTTTGCACTTTCTGTTACTATTTTCAGATTTAATTAATCGCGTGTCTGGCTCTACCTGTGTGACCTTTACAATTAGCAAGTTCCTTAACAATATTCTAGTCATTTGGGCATATTGAAACACGCGCTTGCGCCCTTTCGCTCGGTTACCGTTTCCCCTTTCAATCTCGCTACGCCGCTCTTTGGTACGAGTGGATCCGTCGTCTACAGTGGCAATATTATTTCACCAACTGCTGAATAATAAGATTATTTATACGCGGTGAAATAAAAAAAGGGTTTGTCATTTATATCAATAAAATAATTTAATAAGTCTTGATTTAAAAGATTCGTAGTATTGTTATGTATACACATACTAGTGGGACTTCGCTCCCTGGGTGCTCCGCCCTCCAACCCCTCAATTTTTAAATATCAGTTAAATACTTAATTCGTTCAGTTTGCTTTTTAAAGTTGAAGAGTCAAAACTGAGGTAGTGTAAATTTAATAAATACTTTTTTATAAATTTATAAGATAATTTTTCATCTGATTTTCAACCACAGGAATTATTCAAGGATTTGTGAAAAACCCCATGAAATTTGGAAAACTTTTTTAATCAAGTAATAAATTCTATACTGTTGTCGAAAAAAAAATTCCAAAATGTTCTTTCTAGTGTTCTGTATTGTCCTAGTATGGGATTCTAATTAGCCCTGATATCAAGTAAAGATGAGAATATTAAAACAAGTAATAAAAATGATAAAATTGTGGTTGTTCTATCTGGTTGCAAAGAACGTGCGATAGTTACGACCCAATTATGTGGCATAACCATGATGTATCATTGCTGTTAGACCAACAGCAGATGCATGGATATTGTCGAAAAATAAGACCAGCCGTAAATCTCGCCAGAATTTAGAAACCTAATGATTCATGAAGATCCAAAATATTTTTACTATTTTTTATTCTGATAAGGGTATGGGTATTTAAATATTGCCATTTCGTCAATTTTATGTACCAACCGCAACTGTACCCAACGGATAGAAAATGAAAAGATGTAACAAAAAATTCACTTTGCGCCAAGATTCAAATTGATTTTATCCTCGAAAATTGACCTTTAAAAAAATTTACCCCTCACACAACGGCAATACCATGGAATCGATTAATGAATAATTAATATTACTTCCAAAAGAAATGATCAGTCATAGAACATTTTGTTGACCATTAAACTCAAACACTATAGAAAGTTCATTCTTTGAATTTGAATGTAAAAAAAAAAAAAAATTAGATAAATGGATTTGATTATATAAGACATGGCTTTTATGATCCCAAAAAAGCCTTAGAAATTGTTAAAAGAACATTACGTGATTTATGTAATTTGAATATCCATTTTGGAAGTAAATTAATTGTTTTAAGACAAGGTTTCAGATTAATTGTTCCAGTTTTCAAAAATAGTAACAGAAGCATGATTACACAAAAAAGTATTAAATCATGATATCTTTGGCCATTGTTTCGTATTTTAATACTTCATATAAATATTCGTTTAATTAACAAAACATTAACAAAATCATTATGAGATAATAGAAAAGGAAAAATTGAATTATTGCAAGTCTGAAATAAAAGGAAAATCACTAATGTTTGTTCCGATATTTTTGATAAAGATGTTAACTTTTAAATAAATAATGTTAAACTTAGCTCTTATTACAAATATACTTACTTTTTGAATAATGAAATTCTCAATCATGTAAAAGGAAAAATAAAAATATGACAGTATAGATTATACTACTTACAAGGGTGCAGGTAAATCTGATAGTGATATTTATTTAAACTTTTCAATTGAATTTATAAACAAAATTGGTAAAGGCTTACTTCCGCGTGTATCTAATTTAAAAATTGGAACAATTGTTACGTTGATACGAAATATAAGCATAGTTATCGGCTTATGTAACAGTACAAGATTGCAAAATATAAAATTTTTTAAATACAATTTTGAAGTAACAATTATAACTAAAGAAAAATTTTCAAAAGAAAGTTTAAATACCAAAAATAACTTTGAATTCATGAAATTCATCATCACTTTCTTTTATTTTATACAGAAAACAATTTCGTTTAGTCTGAGTGTTTTCCATAACTATAAATAAATCTCAAGATCAAAGTTTTCATAGTAATAAATTATATATGAAAAAATGAAAAAACGAATCTGAAAAGAAAAAGATTGTTTGGAAAGAAATTTTTGACATAAGCTAATCCAAAGTGGATAAAAAAAAGAAATTATATTGTATTATTATGCGTAAATATCATTTTTACGATTACTGTTTAGTTTCCTTAAATATCTGCAATTTAATAAAATTATTTTTTTTAATTACTGATTTATTTTGAAAAATTATGTTTTTAATATTCAATTGTTTCATTAAAACATAAATACATATGTTTTAAAATAATCTGTTGAACAAGTTCAAAAATACTATAAAGTTTTCATTACGTATAAACTTTTTCTATCGTACGTTACGCATCTAGGTTGAAGACAAAAGTGTAAAGTTTATTGAAATTTTCGACATACTTGAATGAAAAGAGGAAAATAATTTTTATTTTTTTGTTGT